ATGATTAATTATTTACAACTCTAATTACTAAAATATATGTTTTTTCTTGACATTGTCATCGCTATCATGGACGTCCCTAAAATGAACCACACTGAATCCGTCCATGATAGCGATGACAAGTTTCAAGTTGATATACCACTGTGGAGTGGAGTGGATCTGCAATCATCTTCTGCTCTTGAACCATATGTCAGATTCACTCCATATTTTGTATTTAGACTCATTACATAATTCCTTAATGGTTTTGATAAAAAATTGTTGCTGCATTCAAATATGGCCGCACTGTACCTATAGATGCATGTTAGCACATATGCTAATGCAAAAAATCTTCTCATGAACCACAAGTCAGATTGACTCCAGATTTGGTTTATACTGTAGACTCAATGAATTAGCCTCTAATGAATGAGAAAGATAACCAACCTACAGCATTATACTAAACTTCACTTCCTGTCATCCTTGTGGTGTTGAGAGATAAACATTGTGCTTTCACTGATTGCACATGAAGGAAGATACTTCCTACTTGAGCACTTGCTTTGTTATCCAACTGATCTTGTGTCCTTTGTCATCCTGTGAACCCCGTTCATTGCTGCTCGCAGCTATATCTTACTATTTACAATTCAAATATATTCTGCAAAATATATTTGCATGCATTCACGACATTCCCAAACATTTACGTACACAGTAAATTTGAGTGTTAAATCAACACATTAAGTGTTAAATTTAACACTGTCAGCGGGTATCTACAGTACACAGAGTAAAAAGTACACTGATCAAAGTGTTACATTTCTAGTGTTGATTTAACACTGAGGAGTGCAAAAAGTTAACACTGCACTACACTGGCCAGTGTTGATCAAATTTAACACTAAGAGGTAATCAACACTTTGAGTGTTATAGTGACACTCACTAGTGTTGATCTAGGGTGACTCCTATTAGAGTAAAAATATGTTTACTCTATTCAATGTTAATTTATTTACTCTTCCCCCATGTAAATATAAATTATATTTTGTAAAAGCACTTGGAATTTCACAATAAAGTCAAGCAAAGCTGTTTCAACATTCAAATATGTTTATAATGACCAAACCATAAGTCTCAGCCCTGGCTTAAACTGTTATAAAGTGACAGTACAATGTAGTCAAAATAATCCCTTGCTCCATATGACATGAGCAAATCAAAAGGTTTGTTGTACATGATGTCATTTACATGAAATACCTTGCATGGTGGACTTTGCTTCAAAACAACTTTAAATGCATGCAAATGATCATCAAAACATAAGGTTTCAAGAGTTGACCCAACCCAAAAACATTATCCTCTTTCAGAACAATGGCCTTAATTTTGTAAAGTACTGGCATTTCAATGACTACTTCACCACATATGACCAAATCAAGACGATATTCTCTACCATGGTGCTAGTCTATCCTGGCTGAACGTTTCCCAATTATATGGCATGTCATTTTGGTGTTTCTTGGCTAAGGTCATAGTGACATTCTTAAAACTATTCAGTTGTTTATTAAATAAATTATGTTTTTCCTCATAGCGCATACACCACGAGTGAAGAATGGGCCCAGTATTCCTTATACAACAAGGATAATGTATCATGTTTCGGTAACAGATTTCTATCAGGAAACAAATACTTGAAAAGCCTATGATGTTCAGCAATTAAGTGCTTCAGATAGATAGTCATGCCCTCTGTTAGTATAGGAGAAAACACAATATTTACAATTTGTAGTAGTAATAGAAGCAGCTGCCAGTATTTATCATCTTTCTGTACCAGATCACAAAATATCAATGGAAAATTACAGAGAAGACATCAATACTGAATAGCATTTAGACCCAAATCATTGCTCCCATCATCCAATTTGACTGCAGGTGGACGATTCCTCCTTTCTGTGTAGCCGTAGTTAAATGATTGAATTCTACCGTACACATCTTTAGCAGTCACACAGTTGGCTTGTATATACTGTAACACAAAATTGTCTGTAGTATTGAAGTACTGCAGAGAGTTCAATAAGCAAGCATGCTTCACACCGTGCACATGAGGTAGTGTTGGGTTTGACTGAATAGTTTGACAATGGTCTGAGTGTATGTGTTTTGTTCGTAAAGTCACTCTTGGGTCATCCTCAGAGAACACAGTTTGAAAATCCACTTTCTCAGTGAGGCGAAAATGGCAACAATAACGAGCAATAAATGATTCCACAAAACCAAACAGGCAATGTATACCAAGATTATCTCCAGGTACTTGGACAATACTGCCATGTATACGACCACTGAAGAAGGGAACTTCAATACCCTCCGTCTCAAGCACTTTCAAATAGTTTACTATTGGCTCAAGAATGGAATCAAATCCATACGTTTTAAGGTCCTGGGTATGGAAGAGTGCACATTAGTGAATATTTACCTAAATTGAATTAAACTTTGGGGGAAAATTTCTCAAAGTAAAGTATATACCTCCCAACTTGTGAATACTCTTTTTTGATCTCAATGGATTAGCAGTCTCAAAGTCATCATAAAATAGTTGAATTTGCAGTGCATTTTTCTCTTTAGAAAAGAGAGGATGTCTCTTCATATATAGTCCATCTTCCAAATCAAAGTAAACTCCATCTTTAAAATTGTGCCCTGAGTTAAACATGACACTTGTGTTTGGGTTCTTCAAAATGTACTGCAATGTCTCGAGAATTTTTCGGACAGTTTCTGTGTCTTTTGAAGATATACATGTAAGAGCGGTCGCTTTAGCTTGACCCTGTATCTCTTGAACTGCTTCTCCCATGGAAGATACAAAACTATTTACAGTCTTCTGACCTACACCTGCAGCCTGCAGTTGAGCAATAACAGACGCACACATATCAAGTGTGTTCTTGTTAGATATTGGTACAACATGGTTACAACTAGAATTTGAAGGAAAATCAACATTACTTGGCTGATTATCAACAGCTGTTTTAGCATCCAAGTTAGCGTTTAACAAAATTTGACAGTCTCCTGGAATGTACCCTGTTCAAATGCTTCAGTATGAAAAAAAGTATGAAAAATGTATGCACTCAGGATAAGAGCGTCTGCTAAATGACTAAAATGTAAATGTAAATGTACTTCAATGACTAGCATAGGAAACAAAACATATCATCATAAGTGCAGGAGTCTAGCTCTGAACTCAGCAACCCTTGGAGTCTCCTTAACCTTCCCAATGTCTATGTTGTACACAGTTGTCTGTATGAAGGTGTACATGTTGCGCAGCATTGTATTGTAAGCAGTACCAAAAACTAAGTGAGTCTTGAAAAGCTCATCGAAGGCACCAAGAGCACTCGTTGACTTGCACGGCAAGGCTTGCTTCTCCAGGATCATGAAGTAAGCATGGATGCTGCTCTTCCTAGTCCCGACTGCAAGAAGATATGGTTGGCGGCTCTGGTCAATCGCATTAAGGTGCTCCTGGATACTGGTTTGTGGCTGAAGACAACAAAAACGAACACCATCATTAGTTCATCATAACGGCTGCAGCACTGTCCAAGAATAAGAATGCCAATACAAACCTTTTGGAATATCACAAGATGCTGTTCAGCTTGGGATGTAGACATCTTGCCTGGTCTTTTGCAGCCTTGTGATGAAGGAGGAATCAAACAGAGCAGGTGAAGGATGGAGGAAATGTCACCGTCCCATCCTAAACAAAGAAGAGATCCTGATTTAAAAAAATTGTAAATTCCATCATCAGTGACATTAACATTTCAGAGTTCTTTGAAATATAAATGATAAATTATGATAATCTTACCGTCAGCATTCGTGTCAGCTCCCTCATCAACTGCAGATTCTGCCATCTGGATCAGCTCCTGAAGTTCAGCTCCCTGAGTGGCCTTGCTTAGGGTCTTGCTTATCATGATAATCTTTTGCTTGAATGTAGTTGGCCACCTCTCCAAAAACATGGCTGATGTTCCCTCTCCAAACAGCAGCACAAAATCCTGTTCAATCTGAAACAAATAAGACAAAGAACAAAACATTAGTTTCGTTCAAGTCAATTTCTTTCTCACAAAACATTCCACTTTATCCTCCAAAACAGAGTTTGAGGAAATCACCAGCATACACATTAATTGAACTACTATTACGGAAGTGTTGTTTTTATTTTAAATTGACTGGCCAACCTGAATTGGCATCTAGAGATTAAACGCAATTTATACAATTTAAAACTGTTCTTTAAAAAAAGTATTACGCCTTCACATCCAGAAAGTGTGGAAATTCAGTTAGGATGGTGGAGCATTTACTTGGGTCGTGGGTCATCTTCTTCCTGTACTCAAAGGTCAATTTAATCTTCTGTTTGACTGTTTCTTGGTCAGAAGAATGCTTCATAAGAGAAATGGCCTCTCTGCACTGGTCTTCACTCATGGTAACCAAAGTGGATGGACTGGACTCCCTCTCAGCAGTTGGCCCTCCTGAGTATAGTTGAGTGGGCCTTTTCTCAGATGAAGCCAAATTCCTCTGAACGGTTGATTCTATACGAGAGGTACCCTTCTCCACTATTGGGGTCGTAATAATGTTCCTTAAGAAAATGAACATGGTTACAATCTTGAAAGAAAAAACGAATAACCAAGTCCCATTTGCTCAGATACTAATTAAACGCAGATGCCCTTTATCAGTTGTAATGTATACTTACATATCCATTTGCGGTGTAGGGATCCTTCAGGTATGGGAACAAGGAGACAATGCCTTGTGCAAACGTTTCTCTCACACTGCGCGGTGGTGATGTCCTGACAAGAATATAATGTTATGTTTAGGCGGCAATCAGAATCTCCACAAGCAGCATTGGTCCCCAGTCAGAGAAATATCAAGAGTGATTTTTGAAGCAGTATCATGGCCATCGAGTTTGAAACAAGATAAATCTTCTACCAATAGCAGAGGATGGTCAGCAGTAGCCTAACCAATTATGTGACTGAGATACTGATACAGAAGTCATTTTTAACATTCAGCAGATATGGGAGCAAGTAATGCTCAACGTTTCATTACGAATCTTTCCTTTAAACTTACACGTGAGTCTCTGTCATCGCCGAAACAAGAATGTTGATCATCTTTCGTCTGTTGCAGTTGGTCAGGCTTTTAGCTTTGGAGTATTCCTTGATGACAACCTCTCCACCAGGCCTTTTCTTCAGTATGCTCTCTATTAGCTGTAAAAAAAAATAAAAATAAACAGCAGTGAAAAATCAATTTGATGGCAAGTCAATTGAAGAATGAATTACAAACGTACATTTTTTGCTTCGTCATCAGATCTTTGATGCTTTCGTGAGGGCCTTCCATTCACGCTCAAAATGATTGTATCATCTGACTCATGGTCTGAACCACCCATCACAGAACTGACAGAGACAGGACTCATCAGGGAAGATTCTGAAATACACAAAGATGACAATACAGGCATGTCAAATGTATGGTTGTATTGAAAGTGATGCCACAAGTAACCAAGACTTGAAAACCAGCTCATACCTTTAGCATCATTGTTCAGTGTGAGCTTGAAAACACCAAGATCTGGCCGTTTCACCATCTCCTCAAACACATCCCATCAACTTCCGTTCCAGACCCATCATACAGCTTTGCCTCTGATCAACTAATAAGTGGGATCTCAAATTTCAGGAAAGCTATGACAAACAGCAACCTACAATTAGAATTGCAATCGTAATGGAATGAGTAATCAGACTGATACATGTATTTCCAATCACAAATGTAATGTTTACCTCCAATCAAAATGTTTTCAAGTGTCAGGTCACTGATCTTGACATATGTTTGTTCAGCATTGCATTTCACCCTGATCAGCATGACTAGGTCTGAAAGCAGTTCATGGTACGAGATAAGGCCAAATTGGGTGAAAAAGCATTACATTTGTATTTCAATCATGACACATTATAAGGATGACTACAAACGTTTTCACCAATAATCCTTTACTTAGCAATGCTAATTTCAAAGTCTATTATGAAAATATTGGATCATGACCACAACTTTCTGATATTTCTTGAAGCAGGTCCCAAACTACAGCAAACAGACTATTCAACTCACATTCACTGTCCCTCTTAATATGGACACGGGGTAATTAGTCCAGTAAAATACACTCATAATTCCAGCTAGTCACTGTATAATGTTGTCATGTTCTAGGAGCAGTCTTACAAGACCGCCAAAATGAACTGGTGATAAAGCGAGTGGGAAACGCAGTTGGCTAGACTAGCTATCTGCCGATGCAATGGGCATAATATTTATCTAAAGCATCACCCACAAGTCAAAAATGCAGTTATAATTTCACTAAATAGACAACTCACCTTAATCAGATTACTCCTCAATATATAGTAAGCAGCTGAAATAAAGAGAACAAACTAGCATGAGGCTAAAAAAGCTCGGTTCTTAAATGAGACGCGCCCATGGGACCACCAAGTGGAGCAAACTAACTGCACAGTACAGGGGCGAGCTAGTTAGCTAGCATGCTAGCTATCTAGCAAAGACATGCAAAAAGTGAAACGCAAGTAACTCTAACATTAGCTGCACACACACAATCAAAACTGTTAGACTTTTTATGTTTCACTGCAGTCAGACAACCAAGTATCAAGTATTTAAATTAAAATAGCTAAACAATATCAGTGAAGGAACGGGCCGGGCCGGGCTGGCGACGCGCACCATAGGCTTGGTGCGGGGAGCAGGAACAGGCCGGGCCGGGCTGGCGACGCGCACCATTGGCTTGGTGCGAGGGGCAGGAACAGGCCAGGCCGGGCTGTGGAGACGGACTGGAGGTCTGGAGCGAAGAGCTGACACAACCCGTCCTGGCTGAATGCCTATTTACACACTCTGTGTGAGGCATCAGCACAGGACGTACAGGGCTGTGTACTCGCACTGGCACTACAGCACATGACACTGGCGCAGGATATCCGGGACCGAGGAGGGGTACTGGAGGCCACGAGCATTCAGCCGGCACACTCCGTCCTGGCTGCATGCCCACCTTAGCACGGCACGTGCGTGGTGCTCGCACAGGACGTACCGGACTGTGCCGGACCACTTGCGGCACAGTACGCAGCTCCACATACCTCGGAACCTGCCCAGTCTCACGCTGCCTAGCCAGAGTACGGGGAGTTGGGTCTGCTCTACCTCTAGGCTCCGTCAACCTCCCTTCCAGCCCCCCAAACCCGGTGGCCTCCTCTCCTAATCCCCAAACTCGCCCTGTAGCTGCCTCCAGCAGCCCCGTCGTCCATGCCGTGTGCCCCCCCCTAAAAATGTCTTGGGGTTGCCTCTTGCGTGTCCGACGTCGGCCCGGTTGGCGCCGCTGCTCCTCTCTATGGCGCGCCTCCACCGTCTCCTCCCACGGACGGCGATCCATACCGGCCTGGAATTCCTCCCAAGTCCAGGACCCCTGCCCGTCCAAGATCTCCTCCCAAGTCCAGGCTGTCTGCTCCTGGGCACGCTGCTTGGTCCTGTTTTGGTGGGATCTTCTGTCACGATCGTCATACGAAGCAGACCAAGGCGCAGCGTGAAATGCGTACATCTTTTATTTCAGTACTTTCAAATACACAAAACAACAAAACGAAACGTGAAGTCCTCGGTCATACACACAAACCAACACGGAACAAGATCCCACGAATAACAAGTGCACACAAGGCTGCCTAAGTATGGTTCCCAATCAGAGACAACAAGCAACAGCTGATTCTCGTTGCCTCTGATTGAGAACCACCCCGGCCAACACAGAAACACATAACCTAGAACATACCATTGAAACACGAAACATAGACTCTACACAACGAAACTAACACCCTGGCTCAACATACAAGAGTCCCCAGAGCCAGGGCGTGACACAGTTGTTAAAATAACTGTGAATTTAACACTGGTGATTTTACTGTGTATACCGTAACTGGAGTTGACTATATGGGTTTAGTAGAGATATCACAATATGTCAGTTAATGATTCTTGACAGTCAGTATTCCACTGAATTGTTGAGTTACATACAAAACATATTTAATTATCATGTTTGTTTTTCCTATACTGTATGTGCCCCAAAAGACCATTGATGAAATGTCCAGTCGTTCAACCAGCTTTCACTCAAAGACTCCTCAACCAACTTATTTTTATAAGAAACATTAATGTGTTGAAAATCCCAAATTGTTTGTATAGTCAACTTACACACAGCTCTGATACATACACTTACCCCACCAGACATGCCACCAGGGGTCTTTTCACAGTCCCCAAATCCAGAACAAATTCAAGAAAACATACAGTATTATATAGAGCCATTATCGCAAGGAACTCCGTTCCATCTCATATTGTTCAAATAAACAGCAAACCTGGTTAAAAAAAAACTGATAATACAACACCTCACGGCACAACGCCTCTCCCCTATTTGACCTATATAGTTTGTGTGTATGTAGTGATATGTAGGCTACAAGTGCCTTAAAAAAATATATATGTAGTTCTGTCCTTGAGCTGTCCTTGTCTATGAATGTTCTGTATTATGTAATGTTTCATGTTTTGTGTGGACCCCAGGAAGAGTAGCTGATCGCAGTGTTAACTGTGCCACCAGAGATCCTGGTTCGAATCCAGGCTCTGTCGCAGCCGGCCGCGACCGGGAGACCCATGGGGCGGCGCACAATTGGCCCAGCGTCGTCCAGGGTAGGGGAGGGAATGGCCGGCAGGGATGTAGCTCAGTTGATAGAGCATGGCGTTTGCAACGCCAGGGTTGTGGGTTTGATTCCCACGGGGGGCCAGTATAAAAAAAAAAAAAAAAAAAAAGATCTATTCGCTAACTGTAAGTCGCTCTGGATAAGAGCGTCTGCTAAATGACTAAAATGTAAAATGTAAATGTTTTGCAACAGCTAATGGGGATCCTAATAAAATACCAAACACCAAACCCATATTTGTATATGTGGATCTCCTGAACATTTTGATGTGTAATAATTGTATACCACTTGTATGTGAGTAACTGTAACAGTGTTACTTCCTGTCCTTGCTCCAACCTGGGCTCGAACCAGGGATTATCTGAATACATTGACACGTGTCACCCACAAAGTACCATTACCCGTCGCTCCACAAAAGCTGCGTCCCTTGCAGAGAAAGGGAAACAACTAGCTCTCAGAGAGGGTGACGTTACCGATTTAACACTACTAGTGTGCATGTCTAACTAGCTAGCCATTTCATATCGGCAACACTCACTCCCCCCCCCCTTGACCTCCTCCTTCTCTGCAGCAACCCCAGCAGTCGGGCAGAGCCCAACTGAGTGATCCAGGTCACGGCACCAATGTAACAGTGTTGCTACAGTACATCTCCTTGCCCCAGTCTGGGGTGAACTAAGGACTTTCTGAACACATCAACACAAGTCACCCATTAAGCATTGTTACCTATCACTCCACAAAATCTCTGGCCCTTGCAGAGAAAGGGATATAACGGTCCTACTTTAAATGACATGCAGCTTACAAAGCTTCATAAATCCTTCATAAACACGACATAAATGTGTCACAAATCATCAACCCACGGGGGGCCAGTATGAAAAATGTATGCACTCACTAATTGTAAGTCGCTCTGGATAAGAGCGTCTGCTAAATGACTAAAATTTTAAAAAATTTAATAAAATCAACAGTATAATCATATGTCATGCTCTATAAAGGGTTAATAAATGTGCCATAACTGTGTGACATAACCACCAATGTCAAATGTGACATAAACATGTGTTTTATAAAGGGTGGCATAAGCACTGCTTAATAAAGGCTTTATACATCATATTAAATTGAGGTGTTACAAAGCATTTATAACCTTCTCATTTATCTAGGTAGATAATTGCAATGCCAGGATAGTGGGTTCTATTCCCAGGATCAACCACACGTAAAAATGTATGCACGCATGACTAAGTCGCTTTGGATAAAAGGTGTCTGCTAAACTGTATATATTATATTACTCAAAAAAGATTATAGCATGGCCCAACCTCTTTCCCTCTTGAGTGCATAGCCAATATTGGACCCGACCTCATCTTTCCCAAAATGCTGTGCAGCAGGACGACACATGCTCTAAAGCAGGGGTGTCAAACGTCCAGCCCGCGGGCCGGATCAGGCCCGCAAATGGGTTTAATCCGGCCCGCGAGATGATTTTGTAAAGTATAAAAATGAGCTGCAATTTTTCAATAAAATAAACTGCTGTTCCAATTGTGTCCACTGGATGGCGCAATAGCAATTGTGTTAAGCAAGCAAACTGTTTATACCGGGGCAGAGCAAATAGGTCAAGCAAGTGCAGCCAGTCCGGATGAGCTACTTTGTTTTGCCCGCGATATTTATTACGGCTTCTACTTTTAACATTATGTGCTTTGGCACCCTCATTGCCCCAATATGTCTCTGTCAAAAAAGAGAAAAGTGGACGCAGAGTGCAGAGTGTTCCAAGAAAAATTGTCATCCTTCTATTTATTCACGGAATTGAATGGGAAAGCTGTATGTTTGGTGTGTTCACAGCATGTTGCAGTGCTGAAAGAATATAACCTTCATCGCCACTATGTGAGTCTTCATGCCGACAAATATGACAAATTTCAAGGATAACGGAGAAGAGAGAAGGTGAATGAACTGTTGGCGGGTCTGAAGAAACAGCAGTCTGTGTTTACTCACAGCCGAGACATCAGTGACGCTGCAGTGAAAGCTAGCTACCTCATTGCTAATGAAATCGCAGTGGCTTCAAAACCATTTAGTGAGGGTGAATTTGTAAAAACATGCATGATGAAGGCAGCGGAGATTGTGTGCCCTGAAAAGCACCAGGCTTTTGCAAATATCAGCCTGACAAGAAACACAGTTGCAGACAGGATTTCCGATCTT